TGTTATTCTCTAATTTTGAATTGTCCCTTGCTCATAAAAGATTGAAAATATTGCTCTGTCCTAGTGGAATGCAATCCATTCCGGAATTTAATTACGAGTCTGTTACAACTTCGCTTTCGTTGCCACGAGATTTTTCCGAAAGCTCGGAATATTGCATCTCTATTTTTGCAGGCAAGAACTGAAATTTTTACAGCCAGTCGCGAGTCACTCGTAACATCAACAATATCGACGGAGGAATGAGATTTTAATATCAATATTGGATTGCCGTGTAAAATTCAAAATCTCTTTCTCGTTGAACGAACGCGATAATTTATCACTTTTAATTTCAAATAGTTTCCATTATTTCTAGAAGATCGAGAATATATTTATCTTGTTTTATATCAGCGTGGACCGTCGATTCATTACATAATTTAATTATAAGTTACTGGTCCGTTCTAAAAAGCTTTTGTTGCCTCTGTAATGAGCAACCTGTAAATAAATGAGTTAAGTTTCTCATACCATTTTGTTAGATGCGCGAACTCAGCATCTTCGTCGCCTTCGAAATTCTTCATTGCTCGTTGTCTAGCGGATGTCATCTTGATTTATCACTATTCCCTCTTTGTCGCTTTTCTGTTACTTATATAAAGGATCGGAAATACCGTTCCGTGGTCGCACATAGTGCCCCGCTAAAGCCGTGGAAAATTTATCGCGAGTACAAGTCGCAGCAGGCCATCCTCCGCCAGTAGCAAGGGTGTTACTTTATTTCACTCTCGCTACGTCATTGCTATACTCATGTGAACGCGTGTGAGTATAAGTGCACACCTTTGTGTAGAATGTCGTGGCCACAGAGTCTGCCATAAATTCGACCGCGGGATTTCACCAGGCCCGAAGGAAAAGGGATCTGTCCTCTTACCGGTAGCCTTACCGAAATTATGTTATTTGATTTAAAGGACTGATAGCCAGGCCGGAAACCGATGAAGTAAATTAAGCGGGCAGCAAGTTCAGAAAGAGAAAGAGAGAGAGAGAGAGAGAGAGAGCAGCAAGCGCGCGGTTGTTTCTAGAAAGATTTCCTCTCTCGCGCCTCTCGATAATTCTGTCGGGGACAATGGGAAAGAAAAAAGAACGGAGCCGATAATTCGAGTACGATGGTAGATCTCGGAAAGACGGAGGAGATCGAGAATCCCCTTCACGAGAAGAAGAAACCGTCGGAGAAGCCGCCGATATCATCCGAAGA